TCTCCCAAGAATTTAACAATTCAAAGGAGGAGCCACAGCTCAAAATTTGAGCTCCTCCTGTTGTCACAGGGATAGTAATAGTAACTAATACTCATTGAATTGTTCTATTTTATGTATATTTATATATATTAATTGTAACAGTGTTTTGAAGTAAGCACTCTTAATGGTCTCCATTTCACATATTATGAAACCAAAGACCTGCCTGGAATCACTAGCTAGTAAATGGAAAAGCCAAAATTCAAACCCAGAAAGACTAATCTAGATCTATTGTTCCAACCAGCATAGAATCTGACCACTAGCATCACATTGGCACTGGGATCAAAGAGATAAAATATATAATACACACAGATGTTCACACGGTGTTAGTTATAAGAACAAAGAAACTATACATGATCCCTTTTCAAATAGAACATTATGTAACCATTAGAAAAAAAGATTCTGTAGCAAGATAAAGGGCTACAATGTAAATGATAAAAGAAAAGCCCCATCACTGCAAAAATGAAAAATAAATATAGACTTAGAAAAGTAGTAAATATAGAATATTGAAATATTTATGTTGGAGTGATGGGAAAATATTGTTTTCGGTTTCTCTTTAACCTGACTTGAATGTTGTTTACCCATTATTTTACTGACATGGAAAGCTGAATGGGATATGGAACCACTGTAAGGGTCAGGAAAGGAGAGATAGACCCTAACAGAGCGCGTGTGGGAGGGTATGCATCTGCAGAGAGAAGCCAGAATTGTGCCCCGTGGTAGACAGGACCACAAGGTTTGGTTATAAACAAAGAAGGGACTGAAACAGGAAACCATGTTGTGCACACACAAAAAGGTTAGTATTTATTGGATCCTTAGATCAAAATTTTTAAGAGTCTTGGATAGTTTTTTGCATGTTGTTAGTTAAGTAGCTGACGCGATCATTAAGAAAGCTGATGACAGTTGCTGTGAAGTCGCTCAGTCATGTCTGACTCTGTGCGACCCTATGGACTGTAGCCCATAGGATTCTCCAGGCAAGAATAATGGGATGGGTTGCCATTCCCTTCTCCAGAGGATCTTCCCAACCCTGGAGAAACCTGGATCAAACCCAGGTCTCCCACATTTCAGGCAGATTCTTGACCATCTGAGCCACCAGGGAAGCCCCTATAGTTGCTGAATGGGCTACTTTTCCAAAACTGATAGAAAAGCTTCTATCAAAGGCAGTTTATATCTCACAGACTGTTATTTGGGATAAAATGCTGCATACCTAGAAAAAAAATGGGAGCTGGGGGTTAGTCGTTTCTCCAGCTGTTGGAATATGGTGAGGAAAAACTCCACTTTGTTAGAAACAGAAGAGAACTTGGGGTCCTCTGGGCAGTTGGATTAGATAAGTGAGGAGGATGTCTGGGAGGTCTGATCATGTGCTACAGTGCTTAATCAAAGCAGGCATTCTAGAAATGATGTTGAGTGTAGGTGTCCAGGAAAGACAGTTGAGCCTAAATAAATTGCTGCAGAGTCTGAACTTCAGAATATGGGTAAGGACACAACTTGGTGGAGGTGTGCAGAAAGCCATCATGGGCATCCCCCTGTGGCTCACAGCTCCTTAGGAGGGACTGTTGATGCCAGAGGTTAGGCACTTGGTGAAAATGTCAACTGCGAAACAGACCAGAGAACATAACAATAGAGGAAGGAAGTGGTTAGAATTGTATGTTGCCTCACACAGAATACTAGGGCATTCCTCTTTCCCTGAAGCAAAGACCCAACAACTGTCTAAAAACGGTGTCATTTCTACTGGGTTATGCTGCTGCTGCTGCTAAGTCGCTTCAGTCGTGTCCGACTCTGTGCGACCCCATAGACGGCAGCCCACCAGGCTCCCCCGTCCCTGGGATTTTCCAGGCAAGAACACTGGAGTGGGTTGCCATTTCCTTCTCCAATGCATAAAAGTGAAAAGTGAAAGCAAAGTCGCTCAGTCTTGTCCAACTCTTCGCAACCCCATGGACTGCAGCCCACCAGGCTCCTCCGTCCATGGGAGTCTCCAGGCAAGAGTACTGGAGTGGGGTGCCATTGCCTTCTCCGACTGGGTTATAGTTCTTTGAAATAAGAAATTTGTTTTCCTGAGATATGGGACACCTGCCAATAGACACACTGTTCTAACGACTTACCTTTTTGGTTTTAGAGGAAGGAAAATATCTTAATGACAGTGCAGAATCATGTAGCAAATGTAATTCACTTTGAAAGATTCAACTACATTCTGTTCCATTTGTTTCATTTTAAATGATATATTTGCAAACATGTCATTGCTCACTTGATGTTTACCTCCTCATTACACGTCTTTAGCAGGCTTGATTGTTGCCTGAAATTGCTTTTTCGTTGACAGAGCATAGTCGAGATGAATGAAAATGTGTTGAGAGCACCTTCCCACAGACAGGGAAGGCCTGTTTGGCCTCTCAGCAAAGGCACAGCCGTGGCGCTCCCCAAGGATGGCTCCCCAGCCGCCTCCATTCACACCTGCCTGCCTGGGCAGCCCTGGGGAACTTCCAGAATGAGTCTGACCTGGTCGCCTTCTTTCTCTGCTAATGGAGGAAAAATGGTGCATTTGCGTTGTTCCCTTTCAAGTGAACTTTTTTTTAAATTTGACTTTCCATCTTGGAGCTGGCCTTTACAATGCCTCTAGATAAAAGCACTTCCCCAAAGTGAAGCCCCGCAAAGTGCCAGCACCATGGAGTTTACTCTCTCTTGCTCTGCAAGGTTTTGGAGAGACAGAATCTAAAACCCTCAGATGTCATTGGAGGAAACAGTTGTTACTCTAAGGACCTTTCCAGATCAGTGGAGAGCGAGCTCTTGTTTCTCTCTTAAGTTCTCAGTTTATCCTCAGAAGTCAAGGATGAGGCATCGCTGGCCTCGGCTGGCTCTCTCCACTTCTGCTTGAGTGCCGTCTTTTCTCAGCCCCATTTCCATCTGATTCTGAAGGGCTAGTTGCAGGATTAAAAGCATTGTCAGTGATTAGAAAGCTCTCTGGTTTCACTGTATCCATTCACTTTACCTTCAGTGATTGTTGGCAGGGGTGGAAATTTCCAAAAGTCAGTAGCTTTTTTTTTGTTGTTTGAAGAGACAAGAGGATGTGGTTTAGGAATGTAGGATTTGGCCCCTGTCCATCTTCCATCACACCCAGCTTGCCTTAAATGGAAGAATGGAAGTTCCTCGCTCAGGAAATCGGCGGGTGGGGGAGGTAAGGGAGTCAGAAGGGAGACTCAGGGCCCCTCTTGAGTGGTGGGGCACACGTGTCTCCCCAGACACAGGACGGTTCTGCTCGCACCTCCAGACGCGCGTAGAGTGCAGCTGCCATTCAGACCTGAGCTCACGTGCCAGCCCGTCCCTCTGGAGCAGCTCAGCCAGGGACAGGGGAAAGGAGTGCCGGGGGACAGCCTGCAGGAGGGCTGGCAGCGGGGTTTTGGCTACGTTTTGTTTTTTTGGCAGAGCAGTATTGAGAGACACTATTGCTTCCATACCCTGTCATTAGTGGGTGGGTAATAGTGATATAAAATAAGAGATGAATTAGGATAATAAGAGGCAAAGGAGAAAGGAGTAAATTTTCCACAAGTAATATTTTTCTCTTCATGGTTATTTAACTTTGAAACAGAACTTGAAAGTAGTAATCACCATTCCACGGGAGACAAAGGACTGAACGTAAGAGCCAGACAGGAAGGTGTGCTTATCTTTATTACGTTAACTAGAAACATACTGAAACATGCACAACTTTTAGGAAGACACTGCTGTTTCCATTATAGAAAAAACATTTTTAAAAAGAAGTTATGGGTGGCCTACTGTGTTGTTGCTTTTTTTTTTTTCTTTTCTTTTTTTGGCTAATGAAGACGTAATCCTGGTGAGAAAAGTCTGTGCATCTTAGGCCCCTTTTGCTTTTCTTTGACAGTTTTTTGCGATCATTTTATGAGGCGGATATATTGTAAAGCAACTCCAAGTGGGATGATTAAAGGCCAAAAAAAACCTTTGCTGTTTCCCTGCTATAGCCCCCAAATAAATAAGACCTGTTTGTATTAATTCGTTGATTCACCCAAGATGGAATAAGTGCCTGCAGCATGCCAGACACTTAGGCACTAGAGGTAACAGGGATGAAGACAAGTCACTGCCCCCACGGAGCTTATACTCTAGAGGGGAGATAGACACCAGAGAGATATTACAGGTGCTCCAAATGAAAATGCGGTGTGGCGGGGGCGGGGCAGGTGGGCGTGCGAACTGAGAGCACAGCATTGACATATATGCACTCCCATGTGTAAAATAGATAGCTGGTGGGAAGCTGCCGTATAGTATGGCAGCTCAGCTCAGCGCTTTGTGATGACCTCAAGGGTAGGAAGGGGAGGGTGGGAGGAAGACTTAAGAGGGAAGGGATGTATGTATACCTGTGGCCGATTCATCTTGTTGTAACACAGACGGTTACACAGCATTGTAAAGCAATTACACTCCGATTTTTTAAAAATTTTTTAAATCGTATGAATGAATAGTAAGCGCCTATTTAAAAAAAAAAATACAGTGTGAGCAGTATACAGGGGAACTTGTTTTCTCCTGGAAGAAGTGAAGACCTCTCTGAGGAATTATAATGGAAAATTCTGGGAGCATTTTTAAGTAGAGGAGGAGGGGAGGGTGACAGTCCTAGCTGCCTTTGAAGATTTACAGAGATGGAGTTGAAGAGGGCCCAGAATGAAGAGAAGAGTACCCACACCTAAAGAAATACACGAGTGAATCAAAAACTGCCTTTGTCGCTTTGAAATAGCTCTTTAAATGTTTTATTACACTCCAGTTTGAACAAAATAACTAACATTTTGTGTACTGTATTTCTCACCAGTGGATCCTCTTCTAAGGGTCTGAATAAACTTTTGCCTTGAAGTATTCTCTCAGTTCCCTTCAAGCACCAACACTGCTCCTATTTTAAAAAAAAGAATTCAGTTACATTTTGTCTCTCGTAGATACATACAATTCTGGTTTCCTGTTATTTTTCCCTGTTTATTCAGCTCCTACAGAACCGTTATTGTGTAAATTTGCGGATGGTGGACAGAAGAAGAGACAGAACCCAAACAAATACATCCCAAATGGACGGCCCTGGCACAGGGAAGGAGAGGTGAGACTTGTAAGTCCTTTCTTGAAACTTCTGTGGGACTGTGTCATCACAAAAAACACGAGAGCAGTTACACATGCAGCATCTTGACATGGTTATCACATTTCTAAAATAGGGGCTAGGGTTAAAACTTCATTATCCAGATAGTGTCACATGAGGACTTCTCATGGACAGACCACAGGTAATGGAAACAGCCATGTTTACCAGTTAGCAACATTTTTTCCCCCCCAAAAAAAGCATTTTAAATTGCTGTAAGAAATGCACAAGTGGTCTTTAATGTTATGGTTTCTTAGAATTACAGTTTTAATTATTTAGAAATTTATTTTAAATATTATTAAAATAAATAGTATATTTGTCATTCAGGTTTTTTTACCTAATTCGTTTCAATAACGTTCTTTGAAAAAGAAAAAGAGCTCAATTTCTTAATAAAAATGTTGGCCCTCCATTCCCCCATACTAACCATAAATAAATTGTTCTTTCTTACTTTTTTTTTTTTTAAAGTAACATATTGGTTCAAGAAGTATAAGGAGGTGCCATTCAGTAGAAATGTCCTACAGTCTGTACTGTCCGGAGATTACCACTAGTCACTTGTAACACATTTGAAATGTAGCTAGTATGGCAGAGGGACTCAGCTTTTCATTTAATTTTAAATAGCTGTCTTTGACTGAGGGCTGCTATGTTGTACAGTGCCAATCTAGAGCTTAATTCTCATGTTGAATTTATAATTATGTGTGTCTAACATAAACTCTCAATTTTATCAAATGCTAAACTATTCCCATTTTTTGTTGCCATGAGTCTGAGAAATGGAATTTTTAATTTGTACCTTTGCAGATGAATGTTTCTTTTTCTTTCCCATAGGCTGGAATGACACTTACTTATGACCCAACCACAGCTGCTATACAGAATGGGTATGTCATTAAGCTAAATACATAATGGCTAGAGGGAAAATGTGAAGGTGGAAAATATCTGACGTTTATTCCATGAATGATTGCGCTTAAAGGATTACTTAATAAAGGCTTTTGTGTTTGTTCTAGATTTTATCCTTCACCATACAGTATTGCTACAAACCGAATGATTACTCAAACTTCTATTACACCCTATATTGCGTCTCCTGTATCTGCCTACCAGGTTTGTACCTTTAGGATTCATCAAGAGTATGACAGCATGCCAGCCATGAATCACTGCTGTGTTTTTATGTATCTGAAAATTTTGAACGTTTATAATGAAATTTTAAGTCAAATGTTAGGCAGCTTGGATATCCAGTTTAGAATTAGCTGCTTTTTATTTGACAGAGTGATTTAGTTTTGTGTTTAGGAGAATGTACAACAAAGGGAAATGGTTGTCAGTTGTCAGTTTTTGAAGTCACAGCATTTTAGAATTGGGACAAACTCAGATGCTTCCTTTATAACAGGCCCTGCCGCTGGACACCATGTGTCCCAGACATTGAAACTGGAAGAGAATTGCCATTAGGTCAAATACAGAATAGATCTGCACTGTTGCCTTTGTTAATTTGTCAGCAGAAACTAACAAAACAGCAAGTAAATATGCTAATAAATGAAGATGTGTCTCTATTAGGTAACGTGAAATGAGCAATGCAGTGAGACTTGAGGCCAAAAAATGGGAGGTGGCTTCCCATTTAGGATATTTTTTGAAAAGGCTTTACCTTACACTCCCAACTTAGAACCAAGATCTCCTTCAGCACCTTGTGGTTATATTGACGTGGTTTTATTGGAGGGGTAGCTCCTATTCTCCATGAATCCTGAGTGTACCTGTATTTCTCCCTCTCATATCAGAGTGTCTCTCACAAGGTCACCACCTTGGCCCAGACAGGAACACCAACGGAGTCAATTACAGACATAGGAATACACTTTGTTAACTGTTGAGATCCTGTGTGACTAAACTTTTGTGAATTCTTGTCTTTAAAACAATTGAATTAGAAATTGTAACCCTGTGGTGGTAGGAGATAATATCTAATAACTGTGTAATTTCACATCTATAAGCCTCAGTTTCCTCATCTTTAAAATGGGGATAATAATAGCTTCTATCTCATAGGCTTATGATCATAACAACTAAAGGAGATTATCTGTGTAAAGAGCTCAACCCAGTACCTGGCATATGATTAGTAGTCAATAAATGTTAGCTATGATTATTATCATCCTTTATACTTTACATCCAGGATTAACTGGCTGATAAGAGTACATCCATTCTGCTTTCTTAAAATAATGGATTGGTCAACATAAGCAATATAGCAAAGGTGGTTCTGTCTAAAAGCATAAAAGTAGTTCTGAATAACAAAGAGAAGTGTTTAAGTGCACTAAAACTGAAGTTGTAAAGTAGCATTCACAGCCTCCCTCAGCTTCTAGATTCTTCTCACTTCCTTTCTCTGAGCCATCACTCATTGTCTTTTATCTCTTTGGGTTGTTAAATTTCTTATGCTGCTACTTGGATCTGCTCATCTGCTTGGTGTAGCACTCACTCATTTAATCCCTCTCTAATGATTTTGAGCTTAAGATTTGTTTATTTTCCTTGCTTATCTGAGATTCACTGAGATCTGCTGCAGTGCATTTTCCCTAATTAACAATTCCTGTATCTGATTTTAAGGGATAGTCTTCTTTCTTAACTATTTGAACTTTGCAACCTCTAATAGGGACAAGTAAGCATATTCTCAGGCAAATGAAAGATTGTGCATATTAATTTCAGTGTATGCACTGTACAGCTATGAATGTATCTCCTCACAACCTCTTTTTCTGTCTTTACTATAATGGCAATGAGCATTTTGGCCACAGAATTATTTCATAGAGTAGAAGAAAATTAGGAGACCAATGTTGTTAATAGACTTGATAGACCTAACTGAAAACAGCATTTCATTACAGAGGCCTGATTTCTTTTCCTGGGCAATCTGTTTCCCTAAGATACGTGTGGATTTTCATTCCAATTGCCTGGCCCTCATGGCATTACTTGTTAGATCCTCAACCCCATAAGTTCAGGGGCCCAATGAGGTCAGAAAACGGGCTTTAAGTGATCTGTGATTCTCTTAAATGCAAAGTGTCAGTGGTATGTGATATGCATACCAGTGTATGTCACTGGTATGCAGTCAGGTGCAGAGGGAAAGGTTCATTTCCTTCATCAGGTTTTCAAAAGGATTCATGATTCAAAAGAGAATAAAGAACCAATAAAGAGTTCATATAACATAGATTATTATTCCCATTTTATAGTTAGGGAAAATTGAGGAAAAGAATTTGATGGCAGCAGATTTGTTGCTTCAGAAAGAAAATTGGATTAGATGTCATGGCTCCCTAACCCCATGATGATACGAGCTATTAGATTATCAGGACCACAGAAATATACCACGGATGAGTGCAGCTGGCCCAAATTGGGGTCTGCAGGGAGCTGCTCGCCTCCCCGTGATGTTTTCAGTGAAGGCCTGGTGCTCGTGTTGGAGCGGGCCTTTCACCACTAAACTACTACATGCTTATATTAATACAATTGGATTTGAGAAATTGGCATCTGCAAGAAACCACCAATATCCCAATGGGGAAAGGCTGCAGTCCAGATAACTGAAATGCTAACGAGGCAGAAGCACTTAACTTTGGTCTGCCTTAGGTGGCAAAGGAAACCAGAGAAAACAAGTATCGGGGCTCTGCTATCAAGGTAAATCACAATCCATTCTTCCCCGTGTCCTCTCTGTAGAACCTCTTAAGTTAACAGCAGGGGATGAGATACAGGAGGGTTTTGTTCTCAAGAACTAAGAGACAAGCTTATCCTGAAATCTAATCTCAGGAAAGCTTTGGGTATCAAGAAATGGGTCGATAGTCTTTTCTCTAGAGTGGCAGAAACAACCTTGCTTTCTTCTCTGCCACAGAATCTGACTCTCAAATCATTTCTCAGTCCAGAGGGTCTACTGTATAGATGTCCTTTTAACTGTAGATGCCAGGATCTAGTTACTAAAGTTTAATTTCCTAAATATGAATTTCAGATTTTTATATTTCACACTAACTAGAGATGATTGACTACTAGACAAGATTTCTGAAACAATGTCCTGGGTATCAAAAGGGAGTTGAATTTGATTACTCTTTAAATAAGCACATACTTTAAGGGTTAGATTCTAGTAAGATGTGCTGGAATGAATTCTCATTCCTCTGTATTCCTAAAGCACCTATGTTCCTACCTTGATTGTAACACTTTTCACTGTTTCTTTGAGTTGTTTACTTGTTTATCTCCCTTGCTTAGATAAGTAAATTTCTTAAGGGTGGGGCCCATGTCTTATTGCCTTTTTACCTCTTTGGTGCTTGATACTCAATAAATACTTTTTCAGTGGGCAGATGGAACTTGGTTTTGAGTAATCATTTCATCCTATTCAGAGTGACCAATTTGTCAAGAATTCTAACTGCTTTAAATTAAATCCTTTTAATCAATTGATAGTATTGTTTCTTTATTTTCCTCCTGTAGATTTTAACATGATTAAAAAAGCTCTAGAGAAATAAGTAGTGCTCCTATGGAAATCAATGTTTCTTCCAAAATCCTTCCTTTCCCAGGTGCAAAGTCCTTCCTGGATGCAACCTCAACCATATATCCTACAGCACCCTGTAAGTTTTTCATCTTAATGGCTTTGTAGTTTTCAAGTAAGCTATGTGTAAGTTAAAAAACCATTCTCTGGGTTTAAACCATTTACGCAAAGGTGGTGTAGGATTTGGGAAATGGTAAATATGGGATTTTGAGAATGTATAAGTTCATTATAAAACTTTGACTCACCTTGTCTTAAAACAAATTGGTATTTGACATTAAGTTAGATTTGCAGTCCACGAGAATTTAAATGTAGGAGATCATTTCACTGAATTTTTAAATTTTAAAGTTTTTAAATTACTAAATTTTTAACCATACTTGTGATGAAATGGCTCTCTTTGTCTACATTCTGTTTAATGCAAATATAAAGTGTTTAGAATTGACCTAGAGATTTTTCATCAGTGTTAACCTCTCCATGGAAATTTTAAATACTAAAGTAGTAACACCTACTGAGGGTAAATAACAAATGTGATTTCTTTAGTGACAGGAGCATGTACTGTACTTACATATATATTACATTTTTTAAATAGAATGAATTATACTTTACCTTATTAGGTAGTATATTGAATGTATTTTTCAAAAATACATAAAATCCAGTTTGTTGAATTAAAACATGAGTTTAGAATGTTGAAAAATAAAGGTAAAAAACAAAAATCACAAAAAAGACTAAGGATGCCTGATAGAATAATCTGGATGCTCACCACAAAGCAGCCACAGAATGAGCCTCAGCTTTCTGATAACCAGGGCAAAATGGGGCTCTTAATAATGTAGCTCACAGTGCTTATAAAACAGATCAGTCGCGTAGGAAGAAGCACATTGTTCGCGGCCTTAAAATGAGACAGGAATTTCTTTAGGACAACTTCCGAAAGAGGACACGACGCAGTGTTAGACCAGGTGTGTGAAGCAGCAGAAGAGGGACACATTCTGAACACGAAGTTGCTGAGATGACTTTGAAGAAGGAGAAAAAGCATGTTTAGTTGATAACACAGGAGAGGAACTCTGTGATGATGTATCTATATGTGTTATATTGTCTGTATAAACATGCACACATATATTTCTACACACCCACACATGTATCTACCCACATCCACCCACTAAGCCACACAAATGCCCATGGCAGTCTACATCCCAGGTGCTCTGTGCTGTCCTATTCAGGAATGCTAGAAATCAGCTCATCTTTCATTTGGGGGCTTTCTAGGACAATAGCTCCTACAGATGAATGAAGAAGAGCAGCAGAAAACGCCTGCATTTTCTAGACTTCTGACTCATTTACATGTTACCACTCACTTTTGAATGATGCACATTAAAAATTTTTTAAGGGAAAAAATTCTTATGAAATATATTAATAACAAGTGATCTCTGACATGGGCTTCCCTGGTAGCTCAGCTGGTAAAGAATCAGCCTACAATGCAGGAGATGCTGGCTTGATTCCTTGGTTGGGAGGATCCGCTGGAGAAGGGATAGGCTACCTACTCCAGTATTCTTGGGCTCCCCTGGTGGCTCAGTTGGTAAAGAATCCACCAGCAATGTGGGAGACCTGGGTTCGATCCCTGAGTTGGGAAGATCTCCTGGAGAAGGGAAAGGCTACCCACTCCAGTTTTCTGGCCTGGAGAACTCCATGGACTTAGTAGTCCTTGGGGTCACAAAGAGTCAGACACGACTGAGTGACTTTCACACTACTACTGTCTCTGACATGAATCTGCATCCTTTGGCAATCTTCTCTGGAGGGAGGAGGGCTTACCTATTAAGAGACAGACAGCACATCTCTTAGTTGAACACCATTGAGACAGCAGTAGTGTGTGCAGAAGGACCTACCTGAGAAGTCATTCCTTTTCCCCACCCAGATTTACACTGCCTGAGACTAGCACTAAAGTTCCTGCACATCAGCTTTTACCCTCAATTGTGTATCTATCAATAAATAACTGTTTTTAAGGGATGATGAGTCAGTCACAGTGATACCAAAAACCTAACATTAATAATTGTATGATGTATCAGAGTAATTGCATCCTCAGGTAATTGGGTGATTGCAGATGAGAGGAATGCGATAATCTAAGAATATTACAATAGGATAAATTAGAGAAGATGCAAAAATCCAGAAATAGAACTAATTGAATTTCATATACAATCAGGGTGCCATTAAGTAATCATTAAAAATGATAATGAGAGCAAGGCAGTAAGTTAGGTAAATATTGATAATGGAATGTTAAGTTAAAAAGCAAAACCCAGGATATGAAGTAGTTTCGTATTTCACATGAACCTGGTTGCAACTCTCTAAAATTAAGTGGAAGCCAGAATCCATGCAGTGCTACCCAGACACTGCTAACTGCCATGTATTAGAGACAGGCTGGGTTATATGAGTGATTTTTTTTCACCCCTCCTCTGTGTTTTTAACTATATTTAATTTAATTTTTATTTTTTAATTTATTTTTAATTGGAAAGTAATTGCTTTACAGCTATGTTTAATTTTGTTTTTGAAGACCAGAATTTTTTCCAATGAAGTCAAAGATTCTGAAATTAGATTGTTAATTATATCTAAATCTGCTTCCCTCCCCTGGCACCAAATTACAGTTGCAAATGCTGAGAAACAGTGAATGAATGAAAACTGTGATCTTGACCCTGACAGCCTGACCTTGAATCAAATGACTGTTTTTTTTTAACATTTTTAAACAAGATGCTGTATTTATAATAGGCAGTATAGTACATTGTGTTGTGACTGCATAAAACATAAACTGTCATTTACTTTAAAACTGAATTAAGCGTTTCGTAACCCTGGCCAGCCGAAAGTAGTTTGTGTTTCCTGTCACAGCACATGGTCCTCCCAGGGACTAGCTTGCTTTACAGTTAAGTGAAGAGAAAGGGAGAGGTATTTAATAGAGAGGGATTTCTATGAAGTGAGTGCTCTTTAGAAAAGTCTCAGGGAGACTTCCCTGGTGGTCCAGTGGCTGAGACTCCATGCTCCCAATGCAGGGGACCTGGGTTTGATCCCTGGTCAGGGAGCTAGATCTCACATGCAGCTAAGCAAAGATTTTACAAGTCTCAGAAAGCACAATCTAGACGATTTTTTAAGAAATCGCTTATGACACAGATTACAGGTTTGAAGGGAGGTTACTTTTGCTTCGTGTTCTGCAGCAGGCTAAGCCATTTCCTATGGAAAAGGGGGTTCCAGAATTCCTCTCCTCCCTCACGTGTCTCACTGGCTCTGTCTGACTCCCCAGGGTGCCGTGTTAACTCCCTCCATGGAGCACACCATGTCACTACAGCCCGCGTCTATGATCAGCCCTCTGGCCCAGCAAATGAGTCATCTGTCACTTGGCAGCACCGGAACAGTAGGTGGCAAATTAATATCATGTGTCTCAGCTTACAGAGGAGGCTAAATTTGTGCAGCCTGGTTTTCCTTATCAGTTATAGGCTCTATAATGTCAGAGATTATATCTGATCCTCTCTCACCTCCCACATTGCCTTCCACATAGTAAATACTCAGAGATTTCTTGATTAATTGATGAACTGAAAGTCTGTCCTCTGGCTATCTGTCTCTCCTGTATCAGAGTATAGCATCCATACAAGACCACTTGTAGCCCTAATAACTGGTATCATTCATTCACACTGGCATACCTCGTCTCATGAAGCCAAAGATGAAGGTGATACATGGTAATAAAGGCAGGGGATTTTTCCTCACTTGTTTCCACCTGTATGGGTTTTAGGGGTGCTGAATCACAATCGTAGTATTGACGTATTTTCCCCAATCCAGGGTTGTATTTGGGTATGGAGTTGAGCTGATATCAGATTAATTTCCAGGGTTGATATGTGTAGCATTTAGATGGTAAGATGACCAAAGGCTTTTAATTGAGACCATATCCGTGGTGACTTAACAGAACAAAGGGTAATATTTTCTTTGCTTACGTTCACAGCCAATAGCAGCAGCTCCTCAGGTCTAAACCAGGGCCACATACATCCAATGAGAAATCTCTCCTGCCTTTGGAGAAGGATAATTTTCAGCATCAGGAAAGCAAGTGTCCGTTTTCCATTTTTTCCCCATTTTTCAGTGACCTGCTGAAGATCTAAGGCATTTACTTCTTGGGTCTCCACTTACGGGAACAATTCTAATTCAGGCAGCTGCTGGAAATGAATGAGGTTCTTTGAGGCAGAGATCTTCTAGATTAAAATAGCACATTAGTGATATTGAATTATTGAGGATGAGAAGCTGTAATGATCTTCACCCATGGCTTGTCATTGGCCACCCTGACCGTATTCTTCTTTTCAGTACATGCCTGCCACATCAGCTATGCAAGGGGCCTACTTGCCACAGTACACACATGTGCAGACGGCGGCAGTTCCTGTGGAGGTTGGTACACACCATCCCGTGGCCATTATGGATGGCAATGAGTAGTTTCAGAAGTGGGTAAATCAGAACTCAAGGAAGAATCAAATCAAAATTGAAACATGTGCATACAGAACTGAGTTTAGAGGGAGTGTATGCTTAGAGTTGTTTTCAACTATGAAATATAATTCTCTGCATACAGATTAGCATAGCAATATCCAGGCCACACCCCCAGGGCTCCCTGAAATATTTTAATATTTTCTAAGCTTGTAGCACATTTCATTACCCCCTCAAGTCTCTATCCTGTCTCCTATAAAATGATACTTCCAGGCAAATTAAGATAAAGCTGGAGTTTGCAGTCCTGGTACCAAAGATTATATCAATAATAACAATTATAAAAATCTGTTATAATTAAATACCTGGAAAAAATATTTCAGAATTTAACAGGGATAAAGAACAAACCATACCTGTTTTTGTAGAAGACTTAATAGAGCTAAATAACTCATAATACTTATTACAGAAGATATTGGTATGATATTAATATGGAAGAAATTTGACATTTGAATTCAAGTTGGGCAGAAAGTATAGTGTTTTCCTGCAAAGTATCCTTGAAATTCTAAGGAAATTCATCAACCCAGTCGATCCCATCAGCTAGTCACATCCCATAGGTTCCAATTCCAAAAACAGCCCTAGGACAACAGGGGAGGTAGGATTTTTTGTTTTGTTTTGTTTGCCTCTAAATGATTTAAATTTGTGCAGTTATTGGCAACCACAGTTACTGGGACCCACAATCCGTATCTGCAGTGCTGAAACAAATAAATCTTAAGAATTTTCTTTGTAACTACTTCAGCAAAAACCTGACCTGTGGCAGAAGCCCAGCTGAACTGACACAAGACAAGACCTTTGCCCCATTTACACTGTATATTCATACTTTTCAGCACACACTGTTAATGTGTTTGATCATAAGGTACAGTCTGAGACCCCACTAAGTATCATTGGTGATACACAGCATATGCATACTATATTTCAGATTGTAAAAGCTGAAATTACTGAGGTCCAAGTCACATCTGGCCCCAAAGGATAAGAGATTTGTTTAATAAATTGTAGTTTGATGTGAAGAGACAACCTCATACAAGTTGGAAGAGGTTCTTTGGGTCTATCAGACATTTAAACTCCTTAGGGAAGTAATTAACCTTGAAGGCTCTATATGACATTAAGAAAATCACTTGTAAGCAGTGCTTGTCTTTATGATGTGGGACTCAGTCCAATCTGGGTAGTAGAGTTTGGATTTCATTGCTCACATGTCTCATCTGTTCTGCTTTGTTGTAGGAGGCGAGTGGTCAGCAGCAGGTGACTGTGGAGACGTCTAATGACCATTCTCCATATACCTTTCAACCCAATAAGTAACTGTGAGGTATGAGGGAACGATCTCCATCACTGTAGGGCTCAAGTCAAGGAAAGGCTGTGATGATTTTATCAGAATGGTACTTAGAACAACTCAGGTCTGGTCACGCTGCTTCAGTCATGGCAAGGGAATCCAGTGTTACTGAAATCTTAAAATTAGTGATTTTGTGGTCTTGTAAATTAAGTATTCTGTCCAAAAAGAACAGTGCCTTATATTGAAGTCAAATGTATGTTTGCTCTCTCTCCCTCGCTTTCTGCCCCCAAAATCAGTAACATAATCAGAGAATACCAGGTACCAAAATTGTCCTACATTTATATAGATAGATAGATAGATATGTGTGAGAGAGTATATACATATATATATCTCCTATATTTATATTATTTTAATGCTCACATACTGAAGGAAAAAGTGTAAGATTTTGCTTAGTCTAGTGTTACAAGATTAGCATTATCTTGACAGAATCAAATGTGAGTATCCTTAGATTGATAGATTGCTTTCCCCACTCTCACTTGAACCACATATCTCAAAACTTGTCATTCTGCCATGCAGATTACATTGAACAACTGTGTGGAACATAGAACACTTGGGTTTCTAGATTGCCCTGGTGAAGTATGTTTCAGGCCTCAGATTTGAAAGGTGGACTCAGGACATAGAAAGTGACCCTCAGTTCCAAAATTTGCATTTACTGACCTACCACCAGTGATGAGCAGATCCTGTCTCAAACATATATGTTTTTAAAACAAGAAAGAGATGACAAAGCTCTAGGGGCTGTCACACCAAATGTTACAAGAGCAATTGTTTTTTATATTTTTCTCTTCCAGATGTACAGAAGGGTGTTCTTACATGAAGAAGGTTGTGAAGGCTGAACAATCATGGATTTTTCTGATCAATTGTGCTTTAGGAAATTATTGACAGTTTTGCACAGGTTCTTGAAAACGTTATTTATAATGAAATCAACTAAAACTATTTTTGCTATAAGTTCTATAAGGTGCATAAAACCCTTAAATTCATCTAGTAGCTGTTCCCCTGAACAGGTTTATTTTAGTAAAAAACAAAAAACAAAAAAAATAAGCAAAAAAAAAAAAAAAAGATTTTTATCAAATGTTATGATGCAAAAAAAAGAAAAAAAAAAGAAAAAAGGGAAAAAAAAAAGAAAAGAAAACTTCAATTCTCTGGGTATGCACAAAGACCATGAAACTTACTCAAGTGCATGACCGGATTCTTGTGGTTTTGTTCATTTTGTGTTTCGTTTGTGTTTTTTTCCGCTGTATGAAATGGGCTTTCTGATGTTTAAATAGTCCAACTTCACCCCTGGTGTTCTGTGCTTGCAGTGAGAGTGTTACCGCCAGTGTCTCTTTTCTTAGCTTTCCGTTTTCCTTCCCACGTCGTGTGAAGTGTCTTATCCTTTTCTATGAATTCCAATTTGCCTTAACTCTTTTGATGCTGTAGCTGTTTCAGTAAAAGTTAGTTCAAACTAATGATGTAGAATGCTTTGACCAAATGGGCTGGTCTATTATGCCTTGTAAAACAGCAGCATAGGGCTTTTAAAAGGTAGTCAATAAAAGTTGCTGAAATTTTGGCTTTTTTAAATATGTAGTAGGTGTTTTTAATGATTTTTCACATAATGTGTAAGGTAGTGAAATGCAAGAAGGGAAAACTGTTTTGTGTGAAACACATTTTCTGACTGGGGAACTTTTAATAGGGTGAATTGTTTGTAAGGCTGTACGCCAACAGTTTCCTCTGATAGTTTGACTGATTTAGGATATCTGCTGTATGATGCAATGTAAAGTCTTTTTTGCCTTTTTTCAGGAAAAAAAAAAAACTAACTTGATGTTCTAGATTTAGTGTAGGTAGCGTGGGGGCGGGGGCACGAACGTTTTGTCCTTCGTTTTTACTAATGATAGTGCTTTAGAATGAGAATGATGCCTGAGATCTGGCAAACCGAGAAGAAAAAATGTTGCTATTGCAACTAAATGGCAAAAGCTAAAAGTAAGGATTTATCTTCAAACATAAAGCTGAGATATGAATAGAAGCAAAACGATTGGCTACTAGCTCTCTCTATGACGTAAATTTGAGAAATAAAAATTACTTGGCACTTTTAAAGGTAACTTCACCAAAGACCGAAGAGCCAGTAACCAGTAGCTCCAACTAGTCTCAGCATCACATCTTCTGTGCTCTTTATTTTTGCCGGACCAGTTTGCGGTTAGGAGAATGTGCCTTTTTTGTACCTTTGCATTTAGGTTTTCTAATTTTAATTGATGTATGGACACACAGAAACAAACAAGCATGAAGGAAGATTTGGATCCAAGCAGTGCCACACTTTACATCATCACTACAAGTGTTCAGTGTAAAGAAAAACCAATTTTGAAACTATGAAATTCCTGATTCATAAATACACAAGTTATTTCTACTTTAGTACCTAGAAGATAATTCACTGTTATTAAAGCTCTTTTATTAAGACAATTGCATATGTTTGAAAAGCAATGGTAAATTAAGTTGTCTTCCAAAACTGTGTACCTGTCTGGTCAACCGTGTGTGATCAGTTATCTACCTCAGAATCTTATTTTCTTTTGTGCTGGGACAGGTTGCTGGCCCTCCCTGTTTCCACAGACCAAATCCTTCCTAGCTCAGGAGCTAGGCCTAAGCAGTTATTTCTTTCGAGTATTTTTTAGTTCTTAAAATTTATGCTTGTATTTGATTATAGATGTCAGTGACATTTCATAGTTTCAAAAGTCCTTGCTGCTCTGAGAAGTGTAGATTCTAGTGAAAATTACATAGTCATAAGAGAAATGTGTTTTTGTTTTTGTTTTGTTTCCTTTTTTTAAAGTTGTGGTATTATTGGTTCTATGCTCCCTGGAATATTACTGCTTTGTGAAAGTCCAGACTGAACGCAGCACCCTCTTTGTACCTAGTACGTTATAAACCTGGGTCTCTCACTACTTGATATTTTTGCATTAGTTAAGACAGAAATTTGATAGCTCAGTTAGAGAGGAGGGAAAATCTGCTGCTAGAAATGTCTGAACTAAGTGCCATACTCGTCTGGGTAAGATTTGGGAAACATAACCTCTGTACATAAAAAAAAGAAAAAAAAAATCAGTTAAACATCACATAGTAGACAGCCATTAAATTATAAAAAAAAATTAATTTATGAAGAAAGACCTTTTGTACAGATTGAAAAAAAAAGATTTTCATAGAGATATCTATATGATCAAGAGAGTTAATTTTTTATTTTTGTTTTACTAGTGCCACAAACTTGCCAGTGGTAACTTATTTGTCCGGTTCAAGATAACTCTGTAGTTTTCTTTCCTAGGACTTGTTGTTAAACGCCAAAAGACATTTTTGAACTGTACATTTGATCAGATTGTTAGCTTTTTTCTGTTTTATTTCTTTTGAGAACCTTTGAATAAAAAACATCTGAAATTTTATTTTTCCTGTCAGTTTCTTTTTAGGTTAGATTAAATGTATATCAGAATTTCATATCATTTCTGATCTCTTCCTTGTTCAGTGAATTGGTTGGAAATTGAGTTGAAAATTATTGTAGATTCAATATGTATTCAAAATACATTTCCTTTAAAAGAATTGGAAAAACCATCCCACCCTCTCGCTTTTGGCTATTTCAGTTCATGGACACAAGGACAACCGTCAGCTCATCACGTCTCCTCTCGGCAAATTCCACCTTTGGTCTTTTCTTAAAGGTCAAAGAACCATACCCCTCTCCTCCCTCCTTCCTTCCTGCTTCCTTTTGACTGTGGTACTGTCATTGCCCAGCAAGGGGGCCAGAATAAAACCTGTCACTGTCTGATAAGCAGGTTCACAGGTAAGGATTGCAAGACGGTCTTACCCCTGCCTTGATGACTTGGGCCTCCTCTAGTGGCCTCGTTTGGCTGTTCCCAGTAGGAGGCTGTGGTGCAACATTCATGTAGGAAAGACAGAACTCTCTTTCCCACGCTGACATGCTTTATGAGAGACTCTTAGTATAAGAACTTGACTTTTACCCAAGGTAAATGAAATATTTTAGTGTATTTATAAAGGTTTCTTTTTCTGCTGCCCAGTGACTGTCCTGATGAAAGGAATGGGCAAGAAAAATACCCGTAGCCTCCCATTTCTGTCTGCCTCTCATGCAACGTGGACAATGGGATATGTGAATTAAATACAAGAGGTTTAGAGCACTTCACTTGCCGGAGCCGAGAAAGCCCCAGTACTCGCTGGCTCCTTGAGTAAAGGAAGCCAGGTCCTCTGATGATAACCAGTGCATCAGAGGGGAAGATGTTGGGGCAGGAGCCAAGTGTGGCCTCGTTGAGATGACGGCAAGCTGCCAAGAATGTAAGCGATGTGATCTCGTGGTGTGTCGCATCCTTGGGGTCCACATGCTCCTTCATAGGACCACCAACCAGAGACAGGGAAAAAAATACTGCTGGGCTCCTTAGGTTTTGTTAACCTCATTTTTGTTCTTTTAAGATGCCTCATGTCATTGGAGTCCTGGGACACCCAGGGGCTGTCATTGATACAGAAACTGATAAATGCTTTTTCCGAGGACCTCTTCTATCTGAGCAACATGGCTGAGCAAGCCAGATTGCTGATGAATAAAAAAAGAGCTATCGCTCACACATAGAAAGACGACCTGCGGCACCCCTGAGGATTAACCCCAGGTTCCTCGGGTCATCATCAGGGGCCGGGACTCCCTCTTTTGTCAGATGGCCAGGGTCCAAGCAGCAGGGTAGAATTCTTGCCTTGGAAGGCAGGGAGGAAGCTGGCAGCGGCTCCCTGGTGTGCATCCTTCCCTCTCTGTGGGCTAAGATGAGAGAGCAGTGGCGGGTGGGAGCCCCGTTTTCTCCCCACCATCCATGCCTTTCAAGGGCACTGGAGCCTGCATTCCACCTCCTCTCAAATTTCATAAATGCTGCTTAAAAAGTCACACGGAAAGGCCATGCCTCCCAGCCTGAGCAGGGGCTGGAAAATGTTCAGATGAGACCGCAACAGCCTCATTCCACTGAAATAGCCAAAAAGGAGAAGATCCAGGGGCCTTGGATAAAGATCACAGACTAGTCACCACCACCCTCCCACAATGCACGAAAAGCTTCAGAAGATGACAAGTAGATGAAGAAGGAGAGCTCAGAGCCAGAGTTAAAGAAAAGCCGGGCAGTTTCTTTCCCTTGAATAGCAACGTGATGAGATAAGCAAGGGAGTAGGGGGACACCGGCGGCCCCGCGCGGCAGCCTGGGCAGGCTGCAGGGCGATGCCCAGGGGGTCCAGCGCACAGCTAGGGGGTGGTGCTGTGCGCCCATCCTTCCTGTGGGTGATGGAATTTCGGTCCTGTGAAATGGCTCAAGATTGTCTCCCGTCTTGATGGTCTGGATCTTAACAGGGCCCGGGAGTGTTCCCACTTAAACCACTAGAGGGAGGACGTTATCACTCTTCACCTGCATATGTGCGATCAGAAGGCAGGAGACCCTGGCCTTGAAGCGGGACGCTGCTGGTGGAAATTGAGGCGTGCACACCACTGGGGATTACAGGGTTCTTGAACTGGGGGTTAATGGTAAGAAGTGTTGCCCAATGCTGGCAGTTCCCTTCTGAGAGCATTGTTGCTGAGACTGGCAAGTAACTTACGTGACTTTTAAGACTCAAGGAAGCTGGAGCCAGGGAAAGAGCCAAAAACCTTGCCAGACCTTATGACTCCAAGTGCAAGAAAGTGCTGGCAGGTCTCTGGGCTGCTCAGAATTGAAAACAGGTGGCTTTGGATTAAATACAAGCTCATGCTATTGCTTCAGTTTTTTTATTATTATTATTGTGTTTTTAGATTTGGTCTAGGTTATTCCACTGCTCATTTACACAAGATACATATAAAGGAGACTACAGGTATCTCCTACCCTCTAGGATTCCCGAAATCACTTCTGCTTGAATACTTATAGGTACGGGGCACTTCCCACCTTTCTTGGCTTCCTGTATCTTGGACCAGCTCTCAAACTTGTTTAAAAAGTCAAGTTTGCATCTTTGTTAATTTCTACCTATCGATCAGCTTTATTAGTTCTGCCAACTGAGATGCCACAGAGTTAAGTCCATCATTCCCGTTTCTGAAAAAACAAAAGTAT